CATCCATAATCGAAGTAATGGACATAAGACACTGCGGTTTATGCTTACACAAATAATCGTGTCCCTTCTTATTAGTAAACAAGCCTGGGTCTCGAGAAAATAGCAGATTCTATGCAGAGCATCCGGAGTTAAGCTAAGATATCATGACAAATCCCTGCCCTGCCTCCTAGGTGCAAATGCGAAAGCGTACTCGCTCAACAAAACGGACTCTAAGCTCACTTGGATGATCTTACGAGCTACGTAGCAGATAGATTGATCGAAATGAACTATTCGTACTGTACTAGCAGGGCCTTACCGTACTCGTATATGACTTCACCATCTCATCTCAAAGGACGGACATTATACTGGCCCAAGTGGGGCGGGGAAAGAGGAGGGAGGATCATAAATAGGGGTCGGCGGGAACATACGGTATTAATCAGATTAGAAATTGGACCCCTCCTCCCCCCCATGTATCTGGAAGCTACAGACCTGTATACCGGCCGGCTAATACTGTATTACTCGTGGCTGGATGCGGGGGTTGGGTTGGGTTGGCCAGTAGCTGCTCCGTATTAGTATCGCATTGAGTGCAGGGGAGGGCCAACGGCATGCTTTGCAGAGGATCCGGAAGGCATAACGATTCATTTCACACCGGAGAAATAATCCACACTCGAGCCCCTCGCTGGTCAAGTGAGAAACTCGCTACCAAGAACTTGAAGTACTGGAAAACTAGTTGAAAAATACCCGACACACCGTAAGCCTCTGTGCGCTCTTTCATGCAATCCTTAATGATTACCAGTACATCCAGAGTTTTGCTCGTTCCAGCTTTGGCTGACCTTCTCATTTTATTACAAGCTCTGCATAGCAAGTTGCTCAAGACGTTCTTCGGGGTACTGTTCCAACGATATGAGCACCTCGTTGCTGCCCTCGTTGCTGCCCTCTAGATCACGGCTTGCCCAGCCTTCCTGGGCCACGTGCGGGCGACGACGATATCAATTATCCAGCTTTCTGGGTTCCTGCACAGGACTCTTTCAAGCGGCGTCGATCTCTCTTTCTGGTAGCGAAGGACCCCGATGTTGATGATCATATGCATCGCAACTGTTTTCGATGACAAGAAGCCCCTGGCAATAACACGACCCCTGTTTCTATATTAGATGAGGTTCAAAGCGCGCAGTCTCTAATTTTATCTTGGGCCTCCAACTCAGTCACTCGTTCGCCACGACTTGCACATTCCCAATCGAAAACTTGGAATTCCAAACCGGAAGTCCCAAACTGCGGTGAAATGAAATTGAAATCAAAAACGCATTGATGGAACGACAAGCCGATATCAGCCGAACAATTCCCTTGGTGCAAAGTTGGTGGACTTTCCAGCCTGCCTGTTTCGTAGTCAAGTGTTGAGTTTGGTCTATTCGCGGCACGCCAAACCGAACTATGGCATTTTGCATTCAAGTGCTCTCTCATCACAGACCGTGAGCTCGTTTACAGATGTCTGATCATAGCAGGAAATTGATAGAAGGCTGTACGATTGCCTGTCTCAGCCTTAACAGAAGAGCTAAGAACAAGCACCGTCAGATCATAGCAATCCGGCCTCTCGCCAATCTCCCCTCGTTTGTAAGATGTAATGCAGCATCACGCTCTGCAGGGATCTCGCAACTGCAACCCGCCGTAGGGACGAGGCTGGCTTGTAGCCTGGCATTTGTTGTCAGCTCCGACCAATTATCCAAAAAAGCTTCCTAGACTGAAAACAATAATAATCCTCCTGAGCTACACTGCAACACTTATCCCTAAAGACTTGTCTAAACTCTGCCTGGGGTTCTTGAGAGAAAGAACCACTACGTGCACTATACAGCAGCAGCTTAACAATGCTCTCCTCTACCTTCCAAAATTGCTCTCTCTTCGACCGGCGAACCTAAAAGTGCGCGTGCTTTTATCTACTTAGAGAAACCTTTCAATACAACTCTAGGGATCTAGTTAAGAATCCTAGAACTAACAGATCTTGAAAGTCCTTGGAACGGTTTCAAATTCCAAGGATGAGGTGAGTTTCTCGGAACCGAACCTGATTCGATACCCACCTGTCCAGGTTGTGTAGGGCAGCTAGACAGGTTAAGGACTAATAAAAAGAGTAGTAAATGATTTGAGATTATGCTCCGCGAGGGCTATAATGTAAATAGGGAATAGTAAGTGGACTTTGTGACTTCTCTACACAAGGACTTTTACAGGTCCCGTCGTCCCATGAATCCTAGATTAAGAAAAGCTTAAGTCTTAGACATGCTAACCGTAACAGTATAGTGTTCTTCTAAGTTTTACTTTCGTACGTGAATAGTACTGTATTTGTGTACTGAGTAGCGCCTGAGGTCCAGTAGCTCCACGATAACTCTACCGTAGACTCCGCGACTAAAGCGAACCGTTAAACACTACAAGAACGCTACGCAAACCACGGCACCAGTACCGGTACATCCAACCGAAATAAGGCCCCAGCGCTACGACTGAATAGTCGTCCTTCCTCGTGGAGACTAATGATGTGCAGCTGCCAACTCTTTGGTACCTAGATATGCTCGTGACAGCTCGTCGCTCCTGCTGATAGGTTGACCTTGAACAAGAGGTTTCAACAAGGCCTAGGAAGGAAGCTTGGCATCTGTCATTCTGTCAAATTGTCAAGCTGTCAAGCGTATTCAGCCGCGCCTACCAGTATCGAATTCAATTCCTAGGATCTAGGAGTCAAGTAGATTTCGGCGCCAGGCTTACTCCACTTACATGACTCGATATGGAAATAGCAGTTTTCTGTTCGGGGATTTGCATTAGTACTGCCTTTTGCATCCTCACTAGGAATTACTTTATACCACCAATCAATCAGTCAAGCTGTTTGTGTCATTTCATATGTCTCCATTTCTCCTATCGGTATTGGCCATTGAGTCTATTCTTCTGCGTTCCCAGTTTTCAAGTAGTGGATGTGAAAACCTCCCGCTGCTGATCAACAAGACTATACTATACCTATCTGTGTTTGGCAGGAACGCCGCAAATTTTTGAATCATCAAATACTTTAAACCGGCTAACAGCTGGGTCTAAGGAAACTAAAGTTTGAAAAGCCAGGGGCACAGTATTTAAACATTTAGTCAAGTGATTCTCTAGTTTGCAATCATGAAAGAAACCTGTTTGCTTCTTATTCTGAAATTTGAGAGTGTAGATTGATCTATGCTATACTAAACCCAGCAAACGGTTCTTATACTTATGGTTTTGAACATTCATGTTACGTTAGCTTATTTATATATTTGAAAGTTTTTGATTCAACCCTCGAGTTTCGAAAAGCCCAGAAGTCCAGTATTAGTCTAGTTCGAAATAATCAAGGTTCATCGTCAATTCACAAAGTCTATAGTCTCCGAGCTTTCTGTTCTATCTACTGTAGTTACGATCCAAGGTTCAACCTTAAGCCGATTCATTGTCTTCACAACTCCTGTTCTGATAACCGATAATAACCGAGAGTCGATTTGCAGGTGGTCCAAGACGCTGATATGGATTAACAGTTCTAGAGTTAAGCGGAACAGTTATGGCTTATGCACCAAATCGAGCAGCCATCGAAGAAAGCGATGTGAGACTTTTCTATACCGTTTTCCAATATGTCATTTGAGGAAAACCGTTGAGCCCTTCCGTGATTGCTTTCTTGCCTTCTGAGTCCCCTCTCCTTAACCTGAGAAGAAGTCAAGTTGACGAATTGCAGCTCTCAACTCACACAGTCCAAACCCAAAAGCAGAACATCGATTTCCCAAAACAGTCCAAACAACCAAGCTAGCCATGTTTCTGAACCCCCGAACAAGCATGGCGCCCGCATATCACACCAACAGTGGGAAAAGGAAAGGGAATTTCGCACCAGCACTACCTTAGCTACCAGCAAAATCCCCGCTGCTCAGTGCACACGGCAAACAAGGGAGTTCTTTCTTTGCTGCTCTTGTTACACAACGCCGAGAGGATGGGGAAAGATCCGAGGCAAGGTACAGTAACACGGTGGTGACACTGACAACAGGCGGCCCTTGCCGGGATCCGAATGAAATGTCTCATATTCGTGCTATGAACTGTGCGAGGGGGTGGGAGCGGAGATGTTCCTGAGGGTTCATTAAAAAGAGTACGGACTGTGGTAACATATTACCATGAATTAATTTGATCATAATAGTAATTAACAACAAGATATTGCCACCAGGTATTGACATGTAAAACCTCGCTTCTTGACATCTAGAACGAACGAGCAAGCAAGACTTCCCACTAAAGAAACAAGCTGGACAGGACTGCCGGTTCTATACAATGCAGGAACTACCAGCACGTTCTATCCAAAACAGACGCACGCATACAGTGCATTGGTCCTGCCTCTGCCTCGCAACAACAAACAAACATGCATATCCTATCCTATCCTATCCTATCCTATCCTATCCTATGCCCGGGCAAGTTCAACAGCCTTCCGCCCAAACAGGGGAAGTGTCGTTCATCCGCATCTTGAATCCCAGCATCTACAGTACATAAAGATGAGATGCATGCCATGCATGCTGCTACATGTACAGTACGCCTGCCCTGCACAGATCTACATGCAAAAGCCCCGGAGACCGCAAATGAGGATCCCTCATCACCTCACACAACATAAAGCCTGCACACGTGAGAAAGCAAGGGAAGGGTTCCACGCATGTAACCAGAACATCGGAAAACGGAAATTGGCTTGCTCGAAAATCTCCGGTTGTGCTTGTGTTACCTCACCTATGTGGCCGAGAATTCCGAGCCGGTTTTAAAGAGTGAAGGAAATGATTGATACGGCGTGATGCGATGCGATGTGATCCCATGCATTACTAGTGATATTATTCCCTAGATACAAACCGGCCCAGCTCCCACGATGCAGTAGCACCTCCCTGCAGCGACCACAGGATTCGAAGAGAGGCAAGGGAGTAGGGATGTAAATATACACTGCATTATATGGAGGAAAGAATGGAGGTACCTTCGGTGTCCAAAACTAAGACGTCGGGTCGGTTTAAGGTCATGCCCACGATTTACAACCGACTTTCAATGCCAGCAAAGTTCTCTTCACCCGGCCAGTGTGCTTCCGGCCACACATGACGCATTGCCTCCCAAATATGGCTGTAGGCGTGCCGTTAGTATAAGAGAGTTGAGATGCCAGTTTTGCCACTTACCTAACGTGAATGATCTCCAAGCCATCTTTCACTTCCTGTGGAAGATCTTTGACACTAAGATACTGTCAGCAGGGTGAAGGAGGCATGGGGCTGATTACGAAACTTACTCCTTTCTGTTCTGTGCCGGGAGGAGTACCGTCTTTACACCAGCCCGGAGAGCTCCGATTAATTTCTCCTTGATACCTCCGACGGCAGTAACACGGCCACGTAGAGATATTTCGCCCTACGTTGTGTCAGCGCAATTAAGCTGTAGACCGACCTATCGGGAAACTTACGGTCATTGCCATGGTTGGGGGCACAGCTTTGCCGGAGAACAACGAAATAAGCGCAATTGTGTGCGCAATGCCTGCAGAAGGTCCATCCTAAATCCTATCAGCAACCTAGTTCGATAAGTGGTCGAGGAGACTACCTTTGGAATCGCGCCCGATGGGCAATGCACGTGGATGCTACGTTTCTTCATGATGTTCTCGGTGGGGTCATTGGTTAGACCGATTTCGAAAGCATGGGCTTTCACCCAGGTCAGTGCGACCTCGACACTCTCCTTGAGCACATCTCCGAGCTTGCCCGTAAGCTGTACACTGCCGCTTCCCGGCATATCAGCCACCTCGATGAAGAGTATGCTACCGTTACCTCCGGAGCTATAGGCCACGAGACCTGTTACGATACCAGGATGACTGGTCAAATCGTTAGCACGACGTTGAGGGCTAGTAGAATCAAATATGAATACCTTGTCTTTTCGGCGATTTCCTCATCGTATTTCTCAATCCCGAGAATGTCTTCAACGTCTTGCACAGACAACTGGGGTTTGTATTTATCTGCAGAAACTGAGTCAGCTGGTGAATTCTTGAGACAAGCTAGCATCACGAAGCAATTAAACAACTCGTGGGCGCGGTAGAGTCAGAAGAATCTTCGATACCGCGTGGCACATTGAGAGAAACCGTAGTCTTCGCGATATTTCAGTCTTTAATCCGGAGATCACTCACCAGCGTGGTCCGAGTCCTTTGCTTCAGCATATTCCACAGCTTTCGCCCGGCATACAGAACCGATTTCTCTTTCTAGGTTCCGAACACCTGACTCTCTGGTGTACGACTCGATGATCTTGGACACGACATCTGGGTTAAATTCCACCTGCCCCTCGCCGAGACCGTCTTTCACACGTTAGCATTCATAGGGATTCAAGGACGTAGGGGGCCTACTTGTACGAATCTGCTTTGGAATTAGATGCTGGAGCGCGATATGTCGCTTTTCCAGAGTTGTGTAGCCCGATAAGTAAATAGTTTCCATACGATCAAGTAAAGGAGGAGGTATTGTGTCAAGACTATTCGCAGTGGCAATAAATAGGACCTTGCTGAGGTCAATAGGGATGTTGACATAATGGTCAGTAAACGTATGGTTTTGCTCGGGATCCAGGACTTCTAGCATAGCGGCCGACGGATCTCCGTGAAAATTTGAGGTACTACAAAGATACGTTAGCAAACATAACTTCGTGCTATAACGAAATGCTTGTCATGACGCAATAGAATGTGCCACTGCCGATGAGCCACTATGGGACTTCTAAAGATAGACGATATACTAACCCAACTTTATCAATTTCATCAAGTAGAAAAACTGGGTTTGAAACCCCGACTTTTTTGAGTCCCTGCACAATCAGACCTGGCATGGCTGCAACGTATGTTCTGCGGTGCCCTCTAATTTCGGCTTCATCTCGAACTCCTCCAAGAGATATGCGATGAAATTTTCTTCCCAAGGCGGTCGCAACAGACTTTGCAAGACTTGTCTTTCCAACACCTGGAGGGCCAACTAGGAGTAGTATCGGTGACTTGTCAACCATCCGCTTACTCTTCAGTATCTCCACTTTCTCTATCGCCTTTTCCTCTTCTGCTTTCGCGATTTGAGCGTTCACATCATCGTTGATAGACTGCTTGAGCTTGAGCACAGCAAGATACTCAAGCAAACGCTTCTTGACCTTCTCCAAGCCGTAATGATCATCGTCGAATTGCTTTCTCGCGCTGTGCAGGGTGTCGACTCCGAGATGATCGTTTGTCATGGCAGACCAGGGTATTTCTGCCAAGTTTTCCAAATAATTTCTTGTGACTTGATATTCTGCTTGAGCTTGTGACATCTTTTTCAATCGCTTGAGTTCCCGGTCCGCGATTTTGGCTGCTTCTGGGGTCAGTTTCGCAGCATCAAGCTTATTTTTCAGTTCCTCCATCTCGTTTGGCTCTTGATCTTCCTCGGATGGAGGGCCCATTCCGCCCATCCCTGGCAGTGGTGACCCGGACATTCCTGTTCTTCTCATTCTCTGACTGTTGGCCCGATTCATCTGGTCTAATTCCACATTCGAGGGGATACCTGTGCCAGTGATAGTGGTAACTGAAACGTTATTCTTCATATCTCCGCACTGGCGCTGTAAAAGCTCAATAGCTTTCTCCAGTCGGGTTTTCACATCCAAGGCGGCTAAAACTTGTAATTTTTCTTCGAATGAAGCCTCAATAATGTTCGTCATAAAATCAGCTAGTATGCCAGCGTCTTGCATCCCTTTCTTCGCAATATAAAGTTCGAGGCGCCGTGCAAGTACTGGGGATAGACCTAATGATCCGGAATTTCGAGGTAGCAGCGATGAGAGTCGTAATAATGTGAGTAGTTCACGAGATAATTGTTTTAGGTGGATAAATAGTCCTTGAATGGCAGCATCCTGCGGAGAAATAGCTTCGAGAAGTTAGCATAGATTAGTTAATGCTTGGACCAGACAGCTCACCATCATCGTATGCATAAGTGACCTCTGCTTCAAAAAAAGGACGTTCTTGAGTAATCTTCTCGATCTTAATCCTAGCAACCCCTTCTACTAACAGCGCAAATTCACCAGTACCCCTTCCCTCAACCCCGGATATCTTCGCTGCCACTCCATATCCAAATAAATCTGCCTTCGTAGCACTCCAAGGCTTTATATCTATGCCTCCCTTCGATTTTGGACTCCTCTCATCTTGCGAGATCATCTTCTGGCCTTGGGGAGAAAGGAGGGGTGAGTTGAAGGGAACACAGGCGATGTTGACGTTGTCTAATCGTTGACTCGGCGTCTTCGCAGCTGCCCGGCTATAGATGTTCGAGAGGAGGGCTGGTACATCGGGTCGGTTTCCAGTTACCGGTATGCGCAAGACGATGCCGGGTAGAAGCACTGTGTCTTTGGCCAAGGGGATAACTGGCAGAGTGGCTGCTTTGATTGGCGCCATCGTTGCTGTTCAATAGGGGGGCTCCTGTGCAAGCACAAGCAGTAATCTAAATGTAGTTTCGAGATTTCGTATATTGTCAAGGTCGAAGTGTGGTGGAGGTTTGGTTGTTAATTGAATACTGGGTATGAAGTTGAGGTGTGGAGTGAGAGGTGGCGATTGTTGATTGCATGAGGTAGTTCGCGACTTTAAGCCGAGGTACCCCAGATATTAGCCAATCGAATAGAATCAAGTTGATTCCAGGGGTGGTGTTTTTTGTGTGGATATACAATTAGCAACTGGTTTCTACTTATTACTTCAGCATGATTCCGACTCCATTCACAAGGCGTACTATCCTCAAAGATGAAGACCTTACTTCGTGAGCCATAGAATAAGAAATGAATGAAGGTGGCATGGCATCAACATGGATATAACCAAATCTCCATCAATCCTGGACGGCTGGGTCCAGCATCTACAAAGCCATGCCTCCACCAACGAGAACGACGACCCATCATATTACGCTGAACTCCCCCAAACCCTCATCTCGACTTCCCAGCCAGCCAAGTTCTCCATCGGCACCGGCTCCCAGATCCTTTCCAACGTCTTCTCAGACTGCCTAGCGACCAACCACGAGCTTATAATCGTGACTTGTTTCTGGGCAAAGTCCGAATCCCTAGAGTCTCTATCCTCATTACTACTCAAGCTGTCTGCAAAAGCCGTTTCGCAAAGTCGCAAGATCCAAGTACGCATCTGTTTTTCGTCCCGCGGTCTTGCCCAGAAACTCTTCCAAACATCGTCACTAGACGGAGAAATATACCCGCCCTCATCATGGCTTTCTCTCGGGCTACCTGACCCCGAATCCCTTTCCGGCTTGGAGTTGGTTGTGAAATGTGTTTTTGTCAGACCATTCAGTGTCATGCACCCAAAATTCATTCTTGTCGATAGGCAAGTAGCTTTCATGCCAAGTTGCAATGTCAGTTGGGAGAACTGGTTTGAGGGATGTATTCAAATGCAGGGCGAGATTTGCGACAAATTGCTTCATTTTTGGGTTTCTTTTTGGTCAAGAGGCACCCCTCTTCTGCCTCAATTCTCCAGCAGCACCGTGGCATTAGAACGTGAAGCTGTTCCAGAAGGGCAGGAGCACTCTGAGATAAATAGAGTAATGTTCTCTTCAACATCACAACCAATACCAACCATCCTCCTGCCTTCACCTCACCGCTCAAACCCCAATTTCCGACCTATTGGGCTCTCTCCGGCTCAAGTACCGCCCACACCACTAAATACCTTCTTACTGCATATTTTCGCTACAGCCAAAACCAGCATCTTCATCCAGACGCCCAATATCACTTCATATCCCCTCATCGAAGCTCTATGCTCAGCTTTAGCCCTCGGCGTGAACGTGCATGTCATTACATCCAGCAGACTCATGATCCTAGAGCAACTAGTCACGGCAGGCACCATCACCGAATTCGAAGTTTGGAAGTTACGGCGCAGGTACAACTTCCTCCTCTCGTCTTACACTAACGCCTCAACCTATGATCCCGAGTCTCAGCCAGCGAAACCAGGAACTTTGAGAATAGGATACTTTCATCCTAAAATGGGATCAGTGGATTCAGATGAGCCTGTGAAGAGCCATCTGAAATGTGTTATTGTCGACGAGGAGATCATGGTGCTAGGAAGTGGGAACATGGATCGAGCAAGCTGGTTCACAAGCCAAGAGTTAGGAATAGCATTCTTGTCCCGCGAGATGGCCAAAAGCATCAAGGGATGTATTGAAGAGGGGTTGGAAGACAGGGTGGATTATGTTTCTTAGATTTGCTCATTCGTGTTGAGCGAGCGTTGGAGTTGGTTAGAATTGGATAGAACGCATGTGAATTTATAATTTCATCTACAAATTTGCTAAACCCGTCGTAGAATATTCTAGCAAAACAGTTCTAAATAGTATATTTCCTTTGTGCTTTCTTGAATTCTTCCAAACCTGGCTTCTCTGCAACTAAAATTGCTGCTATACCATCTGTACAATTATTGACAGGAAATTATTGACAGGACATAGTTTTCATTTGCAAAGTCGTGGCTTGCATGGTTCTCATTGCCAGGTTGTGGCTTGGAAAGGTGAGCATTTCTGGAGACCTACTTTCGGAATGAGAAGGAGCTTATAGACGTTTCAATAGCAGCTGGTAGTACTAGAGAACAATCTGGAAGGGCTAAGCCTTAGTAGTATTGCATTAGAGCTCTGACAATTCCAGGAAATTCATCAAGCTGGCTGCTGGAAGGATCGATCGAAATTTGAAAATCCCATTTGGAGAAACGCCCAAGGAAGGAATGCTGCTACTTAAAGAATCGTAAAATCTCGAGATTCCCATCTATCGACCAGCCCATCTGCAATTCTTGCTAATCCTATTCGTCTCCATTCATCTACAGCACCAATGACTGGTTCTAAAATCAATGCCCAGTTCTGGTCTTGGAGAGACTCATCGATATTACTAAGGTAGTAGTAGTAGTTCCAAGGCTCAATAATACGAGTGCTACCAAATTTGACAGAGGCAATTGATACCACGACAGCACCGCGGTCTCTTAATTGGAGTTTTGTATTTAGAAAAACTTCCTCGTCTTCCTCTTCAACCGGCCTATCGTCCAGCCAGCAAGTTATGGTAGATGGCACTATTTTGTAGACGAAGGAGTTATTGCCGAACAGTTTTAGGATATCCTTGGCCAATGGAAGTCTTATTTCGTTATTTTCGAAAGAAGCTACGCTCTTGTATGGAGCATTGATGCGTAGTTCACCGGATTTAATCGGTCCAAACTCATCTTCTCCAAGATACACCAAGTTTATTTGAAGGATCTTAGCAATGGGAGTGAGACTGCTTTCGTCAAGACCAGTGAATACTGGTGAAGTAGGTGCAACGCAAGCCGGACGCACCTGGTTACCGCATTTTATGGCAGCCCAGCTCCAGGACGGCGCAACGTATGTTGATGGATATAAACCACCGTCTTGTACAGACCAAAGCAGACCATTATGGAAATCTTGCGTCCAGATACCGGCCCGATATTCATATCCTGTGTGTCTTTTGACCTCCTTCGCTAATCCAGAAATAGCTGGAAGACAGTCTTCCTCGAAGGTGATATCTCGGCTACATAAATCTATAACCACACGATACCAGATTTGCAGAGGGTCACATTCCGGCGCACCATCATGGATTTTCAAATCGTCCTGTCTGACAACTTCAAGCCGCTCAGGTGACAAGCAGATTACTTTTGCCGGATGATGAAAACCCGACACAGTCCTAGGCCAATCTTCAGTAAAATTATCTTCTGAGCGAGTAGTACAGCGGCAGCTCCAGACTAATTGCAATGGCGTCCAACGTAAAGTACGTGGAGAAAGAACGTCCTCTTGAAGAGCCCACGCTCGTGATTTCAAAAAGCTGTGATCCAACCCACCTCTTTGCCACCTCTCACGGTCGAAAGTATACATCACACTCTGGAACCCATCTCTTGAGCTGCGGCACCCCTGCTGTACATATTCTGTCTCAAGGGAGACATGGTTTCCCAAAATATTAACTCCGCTATCAGCACAATTTTCCGCGGAAATCGTAAAAACGCAGTTCTTGTAAATATCTCCCATGGTCGAAATCTCCCGCATCCAATCCTCTTTACTATCTTGAATAATGCAAAGGGAGTCTATCCAGAGATATCTGTAATGCATTGCTCTAGTGATAACGACAGCATCATAGAAGAGCTTAGGGAGATTGCTCATTGGTAATGAGTGTTGATGGTCTGAAATCGACTGTAGAGTCGTCTTGATCGGTTGGCTCTGTCCCCAACAGTGACTTAAAGTAACCCATTCTTGTACATCGTTTCCAGAGATATGTAGCAAGGGATCCGTGGAACCGTCTGTTGGTCCAACATCAATCACACGAGTTGGTGGCCGCCTCGTGGCCAAAGATTGAGGGGCACACGCTTCATGGCCGGCCAAGCAGTCATTGATCCAACTGGAGGCAGAGCTTTGCCAGTTTTCCGATGATCTGTATGCTAGTGACCGAAGTCTTAGGTAGCTGGAGCTAAGATCATCTATAAAAATCAATACAAAGCTGTTAAGATGCAGACTTATAGCACACACCAGGCCTTGCTGCAATTGCCAAGAAACTCCAGAGGTATGGGACCTCCGGGGGCCTGTCATCGTCAGGTGTCATTCGCCTAGATTGATGGTCATGCCATCGTATTTCTTGCCCATAACGGATTTTCTCGTAACTTCCTGGGCTTTGATGTACCGCTCTGGCGACTATTTGCATATCTAACCCACCTAAGTCATATCGTTGGTCCAGAAGATCTCCTCCAATCTCGGTCCATTGGGAGTCCCATATCAATTTACATGACTCACAACCATTCCTAACAGAGTGTAACAATTCGGCACAGCTAGCGTGATGCTTGTACCCTTGATCAGTAGCAAGTTGATCAAGATCGATGTTTGAGCAGAAGCTACAGAGCATGGTGAATTTATACGTCGGCCAGGCAACGTACTATAGGTGTTGGAATAGGAACGATAGATTTGATGCTGAAGAGAGGCTTGAAGCTAGCATAAGAGCTTAAAGTCATATAGTATGATTATGATATAGAGAAGAGGTTCTAACCAAATAATAACCCAAGAATCGTTTCATGGTCAGTCATAGTCATGTAAGCCGCCACTTCCACTATTAGGCAGAATTCATCCTTGTCACCTGACACCAGAACTTCCGAACCAGCTTTTAGGTAAGGTATCTGATTAGCCCTACCTAGATATGGTGGTTTAGCAGTTTGGTATAGCGATTACGTAAAAGGCGGTAAAAAGCATAAAAACCGGTAAAAGAAAATACATATAAATCACTAGGCAGCCAATCAGAGAAACCTATCCTAAAGCGCCGTATTAGGTAAGGTAGGCTTCTGGTAAAAAAACGGAGCTTTCTAGCAGTATATATTGATAGGCAAAAAAACTGGCGTATACCTAGGTATACTTCCTAATTTGCTAAAATACCTTCCTTCCCCATTTGACCCAATACGAACTCGAGAGTCAAGATCTTCATCCAAGTGTCGAAACCGACAAGGATGGAGATGCAGACACATACACGCACAATGGAACCCTACTTGAACCCTTGAAATACGATAAACGACGCCGCAATTCAAAAGAACCCCCGAGATACGACCAACGATGCTCGAAAGTAGATCTCGATAGTCCAAGGAAGCTGACGTTAACGTTGCATCTACCTTAGTCTAATGTAGCAATCCAAAGCTAGTATATACGTACATATCCATATATATACCCGCACTCACTCCCTCTTGAAATCACTCTTCTACTCCCATCACCCATCCTTCACCAACCATGCGTTCCTCATCCCCCTCTCACTCTCACTCTCCCTCCTCCTCCTCGCAGCCCTCTCCCACGCCGCATCAATAAGCTGCGGCACTCCCCTCACCACCGGCTCCCTCTGGTACACCTCCCCCACCAATGCCACCGGCGCACTGGGCATCCTCTCCGCCTACGGCAACGCCGAGCTCCTCGCCACCTACCCCGCGTCCAACGTCGAAGCCATATCCCTCGCCGTCACCCCCTGCAACTCCTCCGCCATAAGCGCATACCCGGAAACCGGAGACTCGCCTCTCGTGCCCGTAAAGCTGCAGCTGACCGGCTCCGAGACCGATCTGTGTCTGGCGCTGGAGAGCACGGGAGCGGCAAATGTCTTTATCACCAAGCAGGCGTGTGTGGATGAGGATGGGGATGCGCAGACGGGGCAGTTTTGGACGCGCGATGGGAATGCGGCTCTTACGCCAACGTGGCAGGCTGGGGGAGCGTTCTGGAATCTGCAGTTTAACGAGGATGATACAGAGGAGGTAATTGCAAATCCGTCACAGTGTTATGATGGTCAGACTTGTCAGGATGGGGAGCAGCTTAAATTTGTTGTTTCGGAGGGCTCGCCGGATGGTCGGTGAGTTCTATTTATAAGTGGTAATTGATGTAAGAAGAGGTATATATTGTATTGGAAATTATGGAGCGACCGAAAAGATCTCCAAGGAATGAATAGTGAGCCGTGAAAATTAGAGAGTCAAGAAGCAGAATCCCCTATGATAGATATAGCCCTCTCCAACGCCTGTATATCACCATCAAGCTCCGCTCTCATCTGGCACAAATTCTCCAACTTCTCTTTCAATCTCCCGCCGCCAGAAACCATCACATCTTCAGATCCCATACCCTCCCCCTCTTCTCCTTCTTCAGTGTCGTTCTGCTCTTTCGGATTGACGTTAGGATGACACCGTTTCATGTGTCCTAACAGGTTGTACTTCCTGGGAAAGCCTTTCTGCTGTCTTTTGCACGATGCCATGGGACAGAAGTTCATTTTGGATCGCTGGTGCACTTCGCGTCTGTGTCGGTCTAGACATGCTTTGGATGTGAAGTTGGGGTGGGGGCATGAGGGAATCGGGCAGGTGTGGGGGTTGGCAGTCTTGTTTAATTGTGTGGTTGAATCCTTTCTATGATCTGTTAGCTAGTGTGGCTGGAAGAAGTAGGGTATATACTGTGAGGGGACAGAGTTGGAGTCTGAGTGTTCAGCAGAGCGCAAGGGGAATTGGTCAGCTTGGGGAATTGCGGAGTTGGTGAAGGTGTTTGGAAGTGCAGGTGAGTTATTCATGTCAAAAGTGAAGGATGGTTGAGAGCTACAAGGCAGTGGTCAGCATTTCAAATAGTACTTGTTAGGTTGATTCAGGAGCTTGGCCTCAATTAGTCGGATTGACTTACTATTCGGGGAAGCTCTGGTTATTGTTCTTATAGTCGAACAGATTTCCAGTATTATTAATTACATAATTCGCTGATTTGGAACTCTTAGACAAACTGTTTTGCATAAGATGTTAAGGTGGCCTACCTGATAGTTGGGCTACAGGGGCAGCGAGCGACGGGAAATAATCTTTTAGATTTAGATCTTTTCAATTGTCAGTAGGGTGATAAAGTCTAAGATAGCTCAACTTGCATACCGTATGTGGCATCGAGCTGAGGGAAAGTACGCTCAGTGAGGAGTAAGTCCTGGCCTATAGTGCATGAGACTATCAGCACTATACATACATGATTGACAATAATAGGAGATCCTACCCGTAAGACCGGAAGCCGCTTCGTATGGCAAAGAAGTTAAGTCTTAGTTGATGTTAGAAGAGCAAGGTTGCCTAGGTATGTAGTGAGAACTTACACTCTGAATTCTCTGTCCATTGATGTTCGTAAGGCTGTTGTCCACCGTTAGAATTAGTATGGTCAACCATTGTGACTAGGCTTTGATGGCTACTTACATTTTGTGGAGGATCTCACGGCTTTTTGATATTTGTTGGAAAATCGACTGGCAGCAATTCGACAGTTGCTGAAGAATTTAAGGGGATGGGAAATGCAAACTCTTATAACTGAGGAAATTGCCACCAGCATTGAGAGAGACGTTTAAGAGTGTTCTGTATGTCCAAGGCGGAAGTGCCCAGTTTCCGAGGCAGTAGTAAGCCCAGCTGAACCCCCCCCCTCCGCGAAATCCAACCAATGACCATCACAGAATTCCCGAAATCCAACACGCGAGAACTTTCAAGGTAACCTTGGGCCTCAAATAAGCCGTCAGGCTATTGTCCAAGGCAGAACTGCCCTAATTTCAGGGCACAGGCAACGTGCCCTGGGCAAGTGAGGCACCGACATTGCGTCCGACGACTGCAAGCCAAATCATCTGTTCTGTTCTGTACTGTAAGCCAGCGCAAGCAACCAAGAAGCAAAAGTAAACAACACGACACGATACGATACGATACGACACAACACAACACAACACATCACCGAATCCCCAAAACAGCCACCTCATAGCCGTCGCTTGAAAACGAATCACCATCTCTCCACCCCGCGTTCCGAAACATATTTCGAATGAATGAATGCCATATCGTGCATCAAGACACCTTATCGTGCATTTAGAGATCTCGATGAGCGAAATTGCTTGTACAGTAGAATGAATGAATAAATGCCATAGCGTGCATCTTGCAAGACACCTTATCGTGCATCCCAAGATCTTCTCAAGAATAATCGCTCGCTTACTTGCTTGCTTGTACAATAGATAAAATGAATAGAATGAATGAATAGGAAAGCGCAAATGGAACGCAGCAAGCGTACACGTAAAGTACCAGTCTCCCAGTCAGAGACGCGATACAAAGCATGCAAGACCAAGGCCAAGCAAGTATCTTACAACTGGTATTTATACAACACGCTGTGCAGCGAGCTCAGATGTTAAGGTAACTTGGTGCGCGTTTGCTTCGTGGGTATGTAGGTATGTAGATATGTAGATATGTAGGGGGCGGGGGTGGGGAAAGAAGCTAATCGAGGGGCCTAAACAGTAATAGTGTCTTATACCTACACAATCCCAATATACCAGCTCCCAGCTCCCAAGAAGAATCTCGGGCCCTGTATTGTACTGTATGATTCGTTATCTTCTTTCTCATTTCATAAAACTACAAATCAACCAACTAACCAGCATGCATACATGCTCTACATGATAACCCCGCAACGCCCGGCCGTAAATACAACAAACATCATGGTATTCATTCATCCATCCCTCCATCCACGCACGCCGGCCATTTGATTCCTCGTACTAACATATCCGTTCATTTAATTTGAAGCTCAATCAATGGTCCTCAACCGCGCAATTAGGATGCAGGACATAGACGACTTGCTCCGCGGCGCTTGAGCTACCTTGTCCGTCGTCGCCTATGAGACCTTGGCCTCTGACAGCCATTAAGATGTTCTCCTGTGGGATGATTAGTATCTGTATATGAAAAAATGGGAGGGGATGGGAGGGGTGGGAGGAATATACCTTGACCATCCTCTTGATAATCTTCTTCACTAACGCCATCTCAGCATGATAATCCTCCTCGCCAGCCAGCTCATCCTCCTTCTGCTCAAGATACCACTGCACAAGCTTCTCGCCATCCACGCCCTCGCCCTGGCTCATCTCATCTTCATTGACTCGCTGCACAAGCAGGTTCAATACACTGATATATTTATCATACGTGATCTTCGTTCTCCTGCTCTCGGGCGCACGAGTAGCAGCCACAGCCGCAGCGCCAACACCGCCATCTGGGCCATTATCGCCGTCTTCGTCGTCATCAGCATCGGCCATAGGAGAGTCACCGTCAGTGTCCCTGCGATTGCCGTTGGGTCCGAGGACTTCGTCTTCATCTTCGTCGACTTCTACGTCATCTTTCTCGACGGAGATGATACTCTGTCGGAGGAGGTTGAATGCTTCAATTACCATAGTTGGTGTAATCTCTTCAACACAATTAGCTTTGGCGATAGCTTCTGACAATCGAATCATAGACTCTAGCTGTCTGACTGTAATTCTATAACTGTTTCGTCCGATACCCCCTTGAGCGTCGTCGCTTCGGAGTTCCTTATATTTGGCAACCAAAACTTCCTTTGCTTCCGGACTAAACTCTGGCTTGAAAGTTCGGGCGAATCGAATATATCGCTGGAGCTGCTCTGTAGAGAACTCAGGCTGGACGGCCTCGTCACGAAGTTGATGGATTGCAACGATGTGTTCAGCTAGATGGCGATCCACGCTCTCATTGCACTCATCCAGAATGACGAAGAACAGATCGAAACGAGACATGATAGGAGCTGACATGTTGATATTCGCCCTCAGTGTCGTCTTCCGGTTGTATCGCCCCCCAACGGGATTTGCTGCTGCCAGGATAGATGTTCTAGCGTTCAGGGTTGCCTGAATACCGGCCTTTGCAATGGAGATGGTCTGTTGTTCCATAGCTTCGTGGATAGCAACTTGGTCACCGATGTCCATCTTGTCGAACTCATCAATAGCACAAATGCCATTATCTGCCAGCATAAGAGCACCAGCTTCGATAGTAAACTCTCCAGTCTCCTCATCTTTGACCACAGCGGCTGTAAGACCAGCTGCAGAAGATGCTTTTCCAGAAGTGTAAACAGCACGAGGCAAGAAAGAGCAGATGTACTTCAGAAATTGGGACTTTGACGTCGAAGGGTCTCCAACAATGCAAATGTTGATATCTCCCCTCAATTGCATGCCTTCAGGTGTAGTTTTGCTTAGACCGCCCATTAGTTGCAACAGAAGACCCTTCTTGACAATTTCATGACCGTAGACCATAGGTGCTAGTGAATTGACAAGTCTAGAGTAAATGTGATCACTGTGAACCATCTTTCTGAGATCCTCGATTTCAGCATGTGTCATCGACGCAAGAACCGCTTCTTGAGCATGGTCACCAGGCTCATTTGGATCGATAGGAGCAGTCTGGTTGAGAGATGCTAGGATGTTGCTGGATTGACCATTAAGTTGCTGGTTGACCGACGAGCCAGTGGTTGACGTGTCAGGAGTCACCATACAAGACAAGAAAGCAAGTCTGTAGGTGAGATCACGCACACCCAAAGCTTTGAGACCAGTAACACCGCTCGCATCTCCACTTCGGTTTTGGTTGTCTCGTACTGCCATTGGACGGACACCGGGTAGGCCGAGTTGACTGACATCTGGAACGACGATAAGGGCACCTGTGAAAATGCACTTTTCTCCGGCTTTAGCCCGCTCCACGATTTCCCCACGTAGAATAACATCCATTGTACGAGGCATGCTTCCAGTTGGAATTTCTGAACTGTTCTCTTGGACTCGAACTTTCTGCCAATCCACAAACGTGCTTTGTCGGATATCTAATCTCCACATCAAACGATTCTGACAAGTTTCGTTGGGGCATTGTGTGGGTTCGGAGTAACGAAATGTTTGCTCTACATTAGGAACTGTACTCTTGCAAGCCTCGCAGACAAAAGTCGCCAGCGATAATTCTGGCCGTACTTCAGAAGTTCTCGTGACTGTTCCAGAGATAGAGAGAAGCTGTCCAATGTTGGCTGTTCTAAGATGTCGGACGCGGGAAACGAGAGGCAGGTTGTAAAATGCTAATGTGAACAACTTATCGGTCTGTTGATTCGTCGTCTTGTCTCCCTGGAAATCAGATTGGCTTGCCGAAGCAGCATTGCTAGCACCTGAGGAGGTCTGGTTGCTCGAAGCTGTTGGCTGTCGATGATCTCTGAAGTATTTTGGTTCGTATTTAGCGATCTGGTTGTGTAGAGCCTTCGTCAAGAAGGGTAAAAATCTATAGTATTCCTCCACAATGCCTTCTGCTAAAGCACCGCCCTTGTAGTTGGAGAGATGCCTATAATCGACATACAGAGTCGAGAGTTGGTATGTCCTTAATCCGTGAATTTGTGCGACATAGTATTTGTCGGTAGCCACAGCACTTGAAGGTGGCGCTCCAGACAATATAGGGTCCTCGATGAATCTATGGCATGTTAGATTGACAACGCCAGATAAAGGGGGCATTCTTACGTTTCCAGGAACTCTTCAAAATTGTCCTGAACATATTTACCGATCACATCTTCTACCCGAGGAACAGCTCGATCCTTCCTCCTTGGACGACCGTTCCCCGTTGGGACTTGATCATCTGCGAAACCCTCGTCGTCGCTCAAAGGCGCAACACTCTCCGAGGGAGGACCCTTTGGTCGAGCAGAAGAACCTCGTTGATTTGGGCGTGCCCTTGGAGTGCCGCGACCGCTGGACGGGGCCCCAATATCGGATTCGATAGCATCGGACATCATAACTGAAGCCATTTTGGGCGATTAACAGATTAATTGTGATGTGGGGGTTTTGTGTTGGTGTTTCGAGGATTTCAAGAGATAGGAGAATTGGGCGGTTAGTCCAACGCGGTCTGTCGCGTCGAGACACGAAAAAGCACTCTATTACGTTGACCAAAGTACGCGCAAAAGTGCAAAATTAGAAAGGGGGAAAATCATGTGATACATCCCTCTTGAAAGATTCCTGACTGAGAGCACTGGTGAAAGCTTTCGGAAATATTATTTATTCTTATGCAAGTATGATGGTGAAAACTTTTGAAGTTGGAATTCAAGCCAAAATGTCCTCTGTTGCATCTTGACCTTAACGACATATTTGATAGAGCATCTACTACGTCACCTGGGGTATTTAGTCCTCAAATATGACTTCTTTCATTTCAGTCCTTGATTCTTTTTCAAGGGGTAATTCCATCCAAATGCAGTATCCAGTTTCGATATCTATTCACAACATCTAATCAAAAGCCAAGTTCCCTCCATTAAATAACCAAATCCATCCATCTCCACTCAGCAGACAATGTCAACCTCTCCCCCAAAAGCCCTCGCAATGCCCCCCTTCACCCGCCCCCCCAAACACCACTACCTCTCCTACCGCATCGCCCGCGGCGAACAAGGCGTCCTAACCTACGAGCCCTACAAATCGCACCTTCTCCATCACTGGCGCTTCCGCACACCCCAGCTCGCGCGCACATCCGCCGAAATCCTATACCAGCACTTCCTGTCCTTCTTCGAGCAGGCGGATTTCGTGGGCATGGATATGGCAAGGAAGTTTATTCAGATGGGCATGACGAGGGCCAAGAGGTATGCGAATTATGCGGGGGGGAGGAAGTATGCGTATGAGGATGGGCAGGGGGGGAAGAAGGTGAAGGTGCAGAGGGAGAAGAGTGAGGGGCATGTGGGGAGGGAGGGGAAGGAGGAGGCGAGTATGATTTTTAGGGCGTATTGGGGGAGGTGTACGGAGCATGAGGGGTATCAGAGACTGAAGAAGGAGTTTTTGAAGGAGCAGAAGGAGTGGGAGGGTCTGGGGAAGAAAAAAGTGAAGGTTGAAGAGGACGACGAGGTGAAAATCAAGGATAATAATGATGATGAGGTGAAGATCAAGGAGGAGGAAGAAGTAAGGCAACCGGCAAAGAAGAAATGCAAGACCAACTCATAAAACAACTCAAGTACCATGGTATTATCCTAAAACGCCTTTCCAAATCCCACAACGCCATCCTACCTCACCATTTATTCCTTATTCCCCTCTGCATTTTTCTCTTTCTCTCGCTCTTTCTCTTCGACTTCCTCATCATCATCCGATAATAAATGAATCTACACCCCATTAATCAGCATCAGCATCAGCATCGGCATCACATCCAATCCAATCCAATCCAATCCTCTCACAACATACCTGTTCCGCAAACGCAACCCACTCCTCCACACCCCTCACATACGGATCCGCCAACCCATCCGGCAACGCCTCATGCCCCCAAATCATCAACTCCCTAAACCCAGCCTGCTCCTCCATAACCTTTACCTCAGGGCTCTCCTCCCCTTCCCCATCTCCATCACCGTCCGCCGGCAGTATCCTATCCGTACTTGAAACGACTATGCCCCGATACCCTTTCGGCATCTTCAATTTCTTGCCATGTAGTTTGCGCCCGCGGAAATAGGACGTTGGTTTGTTATCTAAAAGCTTGTTGTTAGTTCTAAAAGGTTGTAAAAATAAAAATATTCAAAGTAAAGAGAAAGAGAAAGAGAAAGAGAAAGAGAAAGAGAAAGAGAAAGAAGCAGTAGTTAATCTCTAGATTCTCCTTCTTATTCTCATTCTTACCGACACTCGTTCGCACCTCCCAGTATCTTTTCGACGCATTAACAGGACCATTGTGGTTGACGCGGCAGGGCAGGACATTAGGCGTGCATTGCCCTTTATGGCTTTTGCTTTTCTGTATTGCGAGCATTGTGTTGGTTTGTTTTGGGTGTTGAAGGATTGTAGGTCAAGTCTTGAGATACTGTACTGTACTGTGTGATGGTGTATTCTTTTGGCAGGGATTCGCGGTTTGAAGATGCGATGTGAGGCGACGAGACGCGACGCGTTGGAACAATTCTTATCTTATCTTAACGCCGACCGACTGTGATACAGTAGTTCTTCACAATAAGGTGAAATAACTCCCTCTTCTTACTCGGTATCTATTTAATTAGGTAATCATTTATAACCATAAGATGCTCATCGCTTCTCTATACCTCTATAGTAAGTAAGAATCACCCCCCCCCAGTGATGTTTCAACATGAACGGTACATGACTTTCCCGACACCAATGCAGATACGACCCTTGTAGATTACATACTCATGCTGCATTACTACCTATTTAGAAGACTACACTGCCTACCTAGGTAGGTATATCCAAAGACGTTATTTAACGAATGCGAAACCGAGATGTCGGTGTCTATATCGGGTGTGTCAAAGTGATGATGTCAACACTCAGATACATACAGTCAGTACATACATTGTGGATACGAGAATAGCTTTCACAGCTGTGTGATGGAAAACGATTGATATTTCATATTATTTCTTGATTTCTTGAAAAGGCTTCTGTTATTCTTGGGACATGTTGTAGTACTGTGTGCAAAGTCCAAACTCAAAAACCCTTCTAGAAGCAAGCATTTCGGTTGTGCTGTACTGTACCTGAATCCCCATACTACTTACTGTATGTACAAACACCCAGTCCAGTGAGAAAGGCAAGGTAAGGCGCCACAAGCGGGCTTTAAAAATGCACTAGTAGTGGGGGGTGGGTGGGGCATTCCATACATCGCTTCGGGTCATGCATTGCTCCCCCTCGGTCGTCCTGATGTAGTCAAGGTCGAAGGCTGGAACACTTCGTCATGGCACACCGTTCCTGGGGGGATATCTATTTTCTTTTTTTTCCTTTTTCCTTTTTCCTTTTTCCTCTTTCCTCTTTCCTCTTTCTTTTTCTAGTTCCAGAGTACGTCTTCCAATTCTTCCTGCTTGTCCGTTTCCATTCCAACGTAGTCTTGCCTTTACAGTCATACATTCCTGTCACATCCGCGACCAAGACACAATAACAACAGACTCATAGAGACCACCAAGGATAGTGTCAAGCAAGGCCAAGAAAAGTTAGAGTGCTGGCTAGTGTGAACTGCGACTTTGCGCCAGTGACGAATCTCAAAAGGGTAGTATACGCATCCCTCCCAATGGCCTCCTACCTCACCCAGCCATTGGCTGTTGGCGGCGACCTTGTTCGAAGTACACTTGGAAGCGTGTCTTGGGGACCTGCCCTATCCGTTTCCAAAGCGGCAGTAACCTCCCTCTTCTCACGCATCGAAAATGGCACTCTGGTGGTAACCGATGAGACAACGGGACAAAGCACAAGCTACGGCCAGAAGATCGCAAAGGCGCACTCCAGTCTTTCCAATGGTGTAAATGAGACTTCGAAAAAGCGTATTGGGGCGGGTAAAGTAGAGTTGATTGTTCGGAAGGAGACATTCTGGGTGCGCCTGTTCCTGTTTGCGGATATGGGGTTTGCCGAGTCGTTTATGTTGGGGGAGGTTGAATGCTTGGATTTGACTGGCTTCTTCCAGGTGAGGATTTAAAAACGAGACGCAGGGAAATCCAAATCCTAACGAGAGCAGCTTTTTATCCTAAACCGTACACAATTGGCTAATGCTACGACATGGACATCCTCCATTGCCGCGACGATCACTGGACTTGCAAGAGGCACGAATACCCTTTCGAATTCTTTGCTGAATGTGTCGGCACATTATGATATCAGTAATGAGATGTTTGCCGCCTTTCTGTCGGACGATATGACATATTCATGTCCAATATGGAAAGCTCAGTCGAGTGCGGACCAGAAGGTAGAGACATTAGAGGCGGCTCAAATGACCAAATTGAATCGATTTATAGATGGCGCCCATATCAAGCACACAGACCACGTTTTGGAGATTGGAACGGGTTGGGGTTCATTCGCTATAGAAGCAGTGCGAAAGACTGGATGCAGAGTTACGTCCTTGACATTGTCAATTGAGCAAAAGGAACTCGCCGAAAAGAGGATTGCCGCAGCTGGATTCACAGAACAAATCGAAGTCATGCTCAAGGACTACCGAGCTCTTCCAACGCCCAAAGTACCCTATGACAAGATCATTTCGATTGAGATGTTGGAAGCAGTGGGAAGAGAGTATTTGGAAACATATTTTGGTTGCATACACCGGCTGCTTAAGAAAGATGGAATGGCTGTTTTCCAGTGCATCACCATGCCCGAAGGTCGATATGAAGCGTACGCGAAGGGTGAGGACTTCATTCGAAAATACATCTTCCCAGGAGGGCATCTTCCTTCAATCACGCAGCTCGTCGATAATATCACTAAAGGCTCGAAAGGCACACTGATCGTGGAACATATTGAAAATATCGGAGGCCACTATGCGAAAACTTTGCGTTTGTGGAGGGAAAAATTCCTCGCCAACTTTGAGTCTCGGATTCGACCAGGTCTAATGATCGAGCATCCTGAAATGGGAGACAGAGAAATTGAGGTATTCCGAAGAAAGTGGGAGGTAAGTGACTTCAATCCTAATATTTGCAAAGGCTGATTTTATCAAGTATTATTACTCGTACTGCGAAGCTGGCTTTGCTACCAAGACGCTCGGGGATGCGATAATTACCGTTGGTCGTGAGGGAGCGATGGAGTTGATGGAGGGTATCCCACTTTGATTTATATGGCGCTTTATTTCAAGCGTTGGTGTCTCGAGATTTGGAGACGTTTCTGTTGTTTACCTCTTGCATAGCAAAGCGCTGAGCCTTAGATGAGGATTTAGAGCATAGAAGCTGTGATGCCGAGCATAATGACATGAATTGTATGGACATGGCTTTCCAGTGGGATACTTGAGTGGTTGACAAGACGGCCTATTTCTTGAGACTCTCAACGCTTGTTCTTTTTCTTCTTCTTCGGTTTGGACGGCTTCGAAGGACCACTGGTATGGACAGGATTTCGCGAGGCGTGTTCAACATCGAAGGCAGACTTGTAACGCCTGAAAAGCAGCATCGTTGCTCGGGCGTCCTCGATACTAGAATGCTCTCCTCCTTGGATGTCGACTCCTAGGAGTTCTTTCGCCAGCTTCTTCAGGCTTGGCACCCTTCCTGCACTATATTTCCTAAACCCAGAGAACCTAGATGTGTCCCGTATATCTCGTTTTGGGTGGCTTAGCATGAGAACTCCCAGATCATTCTTCACCGCATGGCCAACCACAACTCTTCCCTGCAATATCTCGGCAATCTCCTGCTGGACCTCTTCAAATTCCCTGGCCGTTGCCATGCTCTTTGCTGATACGCCACTGACATGAGTTCTCCAGTCCGTGACGAACTCTTTCGGTCGTACAAAAGAATCATAAACCTGAGTCCCATGGAAATTCACCACACTAACCCTCGCCAGCACCGAGCGGTTCTCCTCCCCACCCACTCCAACCATTTCGCAATCAATACCCACGTATTTTCCAATATCCACATCAGCTGATAACCCTCCATTGATAATATCCAACTGGGCTCCTCGTATCGTAGTATCCTTTAAACCCCTCCATAAGCCTCGACAAGATCTTTAGCAGATATATCGTTATCCTCAGCCCAAAGCGCCAAAGATGCAGACGGTGCCTCCCCCTCCTCCTTCACTCCCCCCGGTACTGCTTCCACACTCTCAGAGCTAGCACCAATCCCCATTATTTTCCTCTTCTTCGTAGCAGCACTCCTCGGCGACTCAGTCTGTAGCTTGACCGGGTTCCCTTCCAGTCTCCTGCGCTTCGCAATAGTATTCTGCTGCCGTTCCGTCGGAATCGCTTTCCGTTTTCGGTCTGCGCTGGCTTTGGACTCTTGCTTCAAAGTCGCATGTAGCTTTTTCCAATTGCTGGATAGTTCAGGTGCCATTTCGTGAGAGAGTGTCTTGTTTTTGATTCATTTTCTGATGTTGAACATCAGGTGGGTAGGGTAGCTCGGTAGGCAGGACGAGCTAGGTTTTTGTTTTCAACCGCTCTTAAATTTTTATTTTAGACGAGGCTTCACGCTAAGGACGGACTTCCAGCCTTGCCACTGCGACTTGCCCCTCCAAACGCAACGCAGCCAGTCAATCATCACAATCAATTGTTCCACGATATTTGTTCATCAAATAAATCAAAGCGGGCATCATGGCAGGTCAAGAACCTGCAGTGGGCTCCCCAGCGCCAAAGCAGAAGGGGAAAGCGACTATTGATACTCTGAAGTGAGTCGCGATCTTGCTCGTTTTGCGATGATGTATGGACTGACTCGGCGTTCAGGATAGGATGTCTTGCTATGGTTATGAAGGTAGGTCTGCTCTTCCTAGTTGCTTTTAATAATCCATCTTTTCCTACACTACAGAACAACATCACACTTTTGCGCATGATACTAAGACTTTCTATCAGGAAGGGCGAACTCGAAGAGCAGAGGTCTTGAGCATTAAAGAGACAAAGAGTGGCCGACAGTTCTACTGCAACTTCGACAACTTCAATAAGCGTCTAGACGAATGGGTACCCGCTGCGAGGATAGACTTTGAACAGGAAGTGGAATGGCCAAATCCAGAGTTGCCCAAGGAGGCCAAGAAAGCTGCGGCTCCTGTGGCAAAGAAGACCACCGTGACAAAGAAATCGCAGAAGAGACCTGCCGCAACAAGAGAGGCATCCATCATCTCGGCGGAATCAGAGACACCAAAATGGAGCGACTCCATGGAATCCCAGAAAGCTACACCTGACGTAGAAGGTGAGGATAAGACTGCACTTAAGCTGGAACTCGAAAGGGACGCAGCCACTCCTAATTATGAGGATGATGATGCTATGGATGGTGATGAAACAGCCATAAAAGCAATCAAGGCAAAGAAGGAGCTCCCCGATCCGCCACAGAGCCGCGCAGAGGAAATCGAAAAGCTTAGGGTAGGGGGATCCATGACCCAAAACCAAGCTGACATATCTCGTATTCGAAACATATCCAAAGTGCAGTTTGGCAACTACACCCTTTACCCTTGGTACTTCTCTCCATATCCCGAAAGTTTCACGCAAGAGGATCTGATGTACATTTGTGAATTCTGTCTGTGCTATTACGGCGATCTGAAGGCGTTCACTCGACATCGGCATAAATGCGCGATGCAACATCCACCTGGGAATGAGATATACCGGGATGACTATGTCTCATTTTTCGAAATTGATGGTCGTCGACAACGGACGTGGTGTCGGAATCTATGTCTTCTTTCTAGGATGTTTCTGGATCACAAATCAACCTATCACGACGTCGACCCTTTTCTTTTCTACGTAATGACGACCAGAGATGAGAAGGGATGTCATTTGGTCGGGTACTTTTCCAAGGAGAAAGAAAGTGCTGATGGTTTCAACGTCGCCTGTATCCTCACCCTCCCACAATTTCAGCGAAAGGGTTACGGCCGCCTACTCATCCAATTCTCCTATGAACTATCCAAGATTGAAGGCAAGCTAGGATCCCCTGAAAAACCGTTATCAGATCTAGGCCTCCTCTCCTATCGCCAATATTGGACCGAGAACCTAATAGAAATCCTCCTCGATTTCAACGAACGAGAAGATAAAGTCAGTATCGAGGCATTAGCTGCTCATTTAGCGATGACACCGCACGATGTAGAGAGCACGCTGCAGGCGCTCCAGATGCAAATATACCATAAGGGTGAGCACAAGATAGTGCTGCCGATGCATTTGATCAAGAGACATGAGATGTTAAAGGAGAAGCAAAAAACGAAGCCAAAGAGAGTGATTGACCCTGCGAGAATACAGTGGAAGCCTCCTACCTTTACGGCTGCGCAGCGCACTTGGGGTTGGTAGGGACAACCAGGGAGTATTTCTGGGCGGCGTTTTATGGGGATAAAATTGGAATCGGTGTAGAACAGGGCGTTCAATGTGTGGTACATGGTGTTTTTGCATGGAGCATTAAGGACATTGTTTGGTGCGGAGGTTAGGCGAATGTCAATATTTTTCACGTTTGAGAAAGAAGTCCGCTTCAGACAAGGCGTTACTACACTCCCTCTTTTTTCAATTTATTCGTCTGTTGAGATTTGTGGCAGCTCTACAATCAGCTTACATGCTCTAGTGAGCAATTTGAAAAGACAAGACGACAGCTACAGAAGACAACGGGAAATCGAACAGTGTTCAACATCACATGAGTCATTTCCCATCCAGCTCATGATCCCATGACTCTCAAGTCTTTCTCTCCTCCCTCGCATAATTCACTTCTCAACAAGTGTCCAGCATAGTAGTCAATGCCGATTTCTCAGCACTGGTAATGGTAACTACACCACTCAATTAGCCTTCACCTCTCTCACCAGCTATCAGAAGCAAAACCTACGATCATAAACCCCCTTAACCTTAACCCACATCTTAGCATAGGTGCACCAGTAAGAGTCTATTTCCATTCGTCAGCTCATCCATCCATTCAATTCAAGACCACACGACATACTCAACGGCGGTTTCCAGTCCTCCGGCCCCGAATCACTCTTTGCCTCATTCACATTATCCGTCACAGCTAACAGCTGGGGATTCGTCAAATCATTCGCAAATGCCTGTCGCTGCGGTGTCGTCCACGACGACGCCCCGCTCTTCCACGCATTGCTCAGCGGCACCAGATGATCGATATCGAGATCCGACGCCGCCGTCCACGTCGCGCCATCGTACGGCGACAGCCAACTGCCCGATGTCGACGCGCACGCAGAGCTGGTCACGACCGACGTGCCGTCGCGCTTCAGCACCTCCTCCCGCGTGTTGCACGTCCCGGAGATGGTGATCCAGTGCGGGAACAGCGCGCGGCTGTAGCCGCTCTGCGAGCCCTGCGCGGCGACAGTGAGGGACGCGAGGGTGCTTTT